GGAATTTGCCGAAGTGTGCGTCAAGGCGATCCTTGTGGATTCGTGATGGGAATGGAATTTTCGGCTTGTATTCTGGCACCACGAGCTTTTGGGGCTGAGTGGTGTCCGCATCTTTTTCTGGATTTGTATCTTTGTTGGTTTGAGGGGAGTTGCTCGATTGCAACTTTTTGCCGCTCCGGAGTGAGATGGCCTTCAAATGTTGCTTCTGCTTCGGATTGATTTCGGTGTCGCTCGGCAGGCTTCCTTGATTCCTCTCAGAAAGCAGCTTGGCTATTTGCCCAACTTGTGTTTCCAAATTATGCACAGAAGCTTGAAGATGTCGTTGGCCCGCTTCAAGGTTTTGGAATCGATCCTCGGAGACGGAAATGTATTTGTCCAAAGCTTGGAATTTGGAGTCGGAGGTGGAGATGAACTTGCCAATCATATCTTCGAGACTGGATTTCTTTTCTTGTGGTGGCAGTTGTTGATGGTGCTGATTGGAATTGCTTGATGATGCTTGATTAAATCCGGGTGGAGCTCGTTGATTCCCTTGGTTGGACCAAGAGAAGTTTGGATGGTTTCGCCATCCTGGATTGTATGTGCCGCTATATGGATTTCCGCTCCTCTGAGGATTGTTGATATAATCAACATGCTCGGTGGTAGATGTTGAGGAGATCAACTTGCACTCGGTAGTGTTGTGGTCACCAGCACACCATTCGCACTTGAACACCTTGCCGGATACAGTGAGCTGGTCAAACTTTTTGTTGAGGTTTTCAACTTGTGCGGCCAAGGCTGTAACTGGGTCAACTTGGTGTAGTCCGGCATTTCTGGTTGGCTGTGGTCGGCACTTGTTTCGGGGGGAATACCATTCATAGCTATTCATTGCCATGTCTTCGATTAGCTGCTCTACTTGGGGAGGTGTTTTGTTGTTGATGGTGCCACCCCCTGCTGCATCAATTGATTGTTTCGTCTCTGGATTTAGCCCATTGTAGAAGGTTTGCATTTGCAGCCAATGGGGAATGCCGTGATGAGGGCATCTCCTGAGAGTGTTCTTGAATCTCTCCCAAGTTTCGTAGAGAGTTTCAGAGTCTTCTTGGCGGTAGGCGGCGATGTCGTTCCTCAGCTTCGCCGTCTTGCTTGGTGGGAAATATTTTGCTAAGAATTTTTCAGCCAACCCATCCCACGTTGTGATGGAATTCCGTGGTTGACCGTCAAGCCACTCCCGTGCTCTGTTGTCGAGAGAGAACGGGAATAGTCGAAGGCGAATAGCATCGACGGATGCACCATTGATTTTGATGGTGTCACAGAGCTCCAGAAACTTCTTGATATGAGTGTTGGGATCTTCGTCGGGCATCCCATTGAATTGTACCCGATTTTGGATCATTTGTAGCATCCCAGTTTTGATTTCGAAGTTGTTGGCTTCGATATTGGGCCTTCGGATGCTTGAGTGAGTTCCGTCCAAGGTGGGACGGGCATAATCAGACATTGTCCGATTGTTCACTTCGGCGTGTTCTTCCGCCATTGTGTGTGGCTGCACTTGTTGCTCTCTCCTTCGTTGATGAAGAGTTCTCTCGATCTCGGGATCAAGGTCGACTAGTCCACGTGGGTGGTTTCGGGTCATGCACTATTTCATGCACAAAAACAAGAAGAACCCGTGAAAGCAACAAGTGTGATTTAACAAGTAACAAGAAAAATAAAGCGACTAAATTAATAGTTCAAAGCTTTTTCTAATAACTTAGTCCCCGGCAACGGCGCCAAAAACTTGATCGCCCGTAACTATCACAGGAAAAATAGGCAAGGGTACCTATCGTTCTAATGTAGTATAGCAGGAAGCAAGGTCGTATCCACAGAGACTTCGTGTACTAGTACTCAGCTTTTACCTATTATCTAGTCAATCGTTTTTAGTTGATTTTCGTTTAGAAATAAAAACACACGCAATAATAAAAACACAATAAAGTAGTTTTCAAAGTAAAATCAAGTGGAGAAGGCGTTGTCCTGGAAGTGAATCCCCCTAATATGCATTTTACAGACAAGTTGAATTTAACATAGACGAATGTTAATATCTTAGACCGTGAAAATTCCCAATTTAGTGTTAACCCGTTTGCACATGTATTAACACCCTTTTGACTTAAGAATCAAGTGAAACCGTGGCTTACAAAAATCTTAAACCAAAGCAATAACCAGATTTATGAACTTTCGTATTAGGTTTTTAAGCTAATCCAGAGGAACTACGTGACCCCATTGCCGGTGGCTCCGATCAATTCCTTCTTTTCACGAGGGATCTAACATGCAAAATTACCTCGCAGTCTCATTTACATGTATCAGATAAAATATACAATAGACGCGTACTATTGATACTTGCACATGATAAGTCGAGAAAAGATCGTAAGAACGAGAACAACACGTCTATATCAAAGATACCACTCAATCAAAGTAAAACATATTAGGGTTCATCAAATCCGGAACAACTAGAAGATTAGCCGGACATGATGAGATGTAGAAAGATGAAGGATGAGAACATAACCATGATGATGACGACGACAAAGACGGAGGGGTCGAGAATACGGTATGTATATTGAGTTAATAGACTACACCTAGCAAACATCTGACGGGGGAATAATCGTTGGGCGAAGACGGTGGAAACCGACCAATCTACCACCACAAATGATTATCAAAACCCCACAGAACAGAAGCTTACTTCGGTAATCTCAATAACGCAATATACCACGGTATTCCCAAATACGAACACGAACATGAGAACCACGATGGATGAAATACGAGATATGACTTAACGAAATGAAAAGAAGTAACAAGAGTTTGGAATGAAAAGTGGACAGAGTTTTGGCTAACTTCAAATACAAGAAAGGAAGAGCAAAGTGAAGAAAAAATGGTAGCCATAGTGTTTAGGGTGTCCCTCTATTTATAGTATGAACTTGGCATCATTATTGATTTGATTATTCCAGCAACTTGCTTCAGCTAGTTGCTTCATTCATGTCCGAGAGAAAGGCCAACAGCTTGCTTGTGCAATTAATTCATGCACCCAACCTTCAGCAGCTTGCTTCCGTCTCATTCCCATGGCTGCCGAGATACACCCACCAACAAGCACCATTCAATACAGCCCATTCTTCAGCTGCTTGCTTGACCAGCTAGCTTCCATATCTTCCCCGTAGCAGCAGGCTGGTCCAATTAATTCAAGCAGGCTGGTCCATTCCCATTTTTATGCGTCTTCAGCTGCTTGCTTGACCAGCTAGCTTCCATATCTTCCCATAGCAGCAAGCTTCCATTCAAGCAGGCTGGTCCAATTAATTCAAGCAGGCTGGTCCATTCCCATTTCTATGCGCGTAATGCCCACATGATCAGAAGTTAGCTTCACCAGCCAGCTTGTTCCAATAAAGTAACCAGCCAGCTTCATCTACTAGCTTCCCACCATGTCATCCATGAGAATGCCAAAATGCTTCAGCTGATTGCTTAATCTTCCATGTAATAGATGACACCCCACACGAGCCAAATGCTTGTCCCTTTCATGCATACGTACTTGATGGTTTGTTCACTCTTTCTTACTTGAAAATCATGCGGCCAAGCATAGGTCGGTGATCGTATATTGATAACAAAAGGGGACGCGGCTGAAGTGGTACGGCTCTTTGCCCTCGCCTGGGACGTCGCGGGCTCGAGTTCCACCGACGCCAGATTTCGAACCCTAACCATCTTTTTGTTGAATTGACTCATTATTCCGTTCTTATTGGATAGAATACCCTGAAACATGACTCAAACACAAAACCAAGCATGAAATCGGGAAATCGAATGAACTTGGTACAATTTATGTTATTTTAGGATGTAAAAGTGTAGGCGGATATATGTATAATTTAGGTGTTATCAGCTGGGCGGCCAGCTCTTTTTTTTTTTTAATTGTTGTTTAGTTAATTAGGAAAGGGGAATTAATTAGGGGAAGGGGAATTAATTAAGGAATTTGATTAAGAGAATTGAATGTAATTAATTAGGGGAAGGGGAATTAAATTGAATTAATTAGGGAAAGGGGAATTAAATTTATGTTTGTATTTAGGCTTTTTAGATTGTATTTAATTTGTGTTTAATATTTGTGTATTTAGGCTTTTTTTCTAAGATGACTTAAATTGAATTCATTTTATTTAAACTTTATGATTAGCAAGTGTTGTGTGTAAACCCAAATTAGGTCCATAATTTTTTGCTAAAAAAAATTCGGTCTCGAAATTTAACAAAATTCTATCAAAAAATTTGTATTTAAAAATGATGACGAACTATACAAAAATTAACATGAACAAATTATGTTAAAGTTTCGATAAGTACATTTTTTCAATAAATAGAAAAACTGGAAATATTAAGAACCCCAAATATGGAGTTTGTTGCATTGGAGCAAAAGAAGGGAAAATGGGGTCCAATCCCCAAATTTGGGGTTCAAGGCCCCTATATTTGGGGTTTTGCATTGGACTTGGCCTAACTTTGTCAGGTTTTGATCCAGCAGACTTCTTTTTTCCACCATTACTGGAGAAGGATCTTATCTCTGACACATCAAATTCTGGTGCACTATTACACCATGATACAAGGTCATCAATCCCAGAGAGTGATATATGATAGTAAGCAATCTTTTCAGGAACATAAATTTGTGGGCATGCTATATATTCCAAAAGGCAAGACAATTTAATGCTCAGGGATTACTGTAAATTTGGGACTCTCTAGACCTGGCAATCGGGTCGGGTTGGGTAATTTCGGGTTGGGGACTCCGGTTACGGTTGAGTCACGTTTGATTGGTTGATTTCGAGTCAAATATTGACCAATCCACCAGGTTTCGGGTCGGGTTAGAAGTCATTTCAAGTTATGAGCGCTCACAGAAACAATATCAAACATGCTTCATATTTTCTTAAAGAACACAATTTTAACATATGCATGACAATAGTTTACCTAACACATGTCAATTAACATATTCTCACATATTCTCATGCTAACGAAATGAAATACAAATTGCACAAATCATCAAAAAAAAAACAATCACAACAGTAATACTACTATAAGAAACACATTATATTTGATTATCCTTAAACTCCAAACATGTCATTCAAATCCTTGTTATTTTTTTTAAACATCTGTCATTCAAATCCTTGTTATTTTTTTAAACATCTCATCAATTTATGAGTGATTGCATCTTTTGTGAAGTGATATATAAAATGAAACGGGTCGACCCGCTAACCAACCCAACCCGACCCAAATATCACGGGTTATCGGGCACGGGTCATTCGGATTTCGGATTATAAAAATTTCTACTCTTCGAGCGGTTTTGGGTCGGGTCAACGGGTCGGGTTGTAATTTTCTAGGTCTAGGACTCCCTTTTGTAGTTCTTCCCACAAAGTTCCTTTTATTGCCTTTGTTACTTTGCTCCAATGCAATGGCTTCAATGAAGATCTTCGACGTGCCATAGCAGCACCCATTCCACTCCCTCGTCCTCTACCCCTTGCATCAGCAGCAACTCTTTTGGCACCTAAGGGTGGTGGTGGGGGCGACCCAACTCCCTGAGGACCTGGAATACTTCCTCCACGAGGAGTGGGTGGACGAGGCCCTCGACCCCCTAGAGGAGGAGGAAGAGGAGGAGGTGGAGGTGGTGCTGGGGCTCTAAGCAAAGGTGGTGGTGGAGGTGGAGGAGCCCCACTGACTGATGGTGGTGGGGGAGGAGGTGGTGTAGGAGCTCCCAATCTAGTAGGTGGCAGTAGCGGCGGAGGTGGAGGTGGAAGTCCACTTCTTGAAAATGATGGTGATGCAAGTGGAGAACCTTGACTTCTCATGGGCATAGGCGGTGGTGGTGGCGGTGGCGGCCATGGGATGCAATGAACATCTTGCAAATGAATAAAGGGAAGTTGTGGTGGAGGAGTTGGTGGTGGACTGCAACGAGCAACATTCTGCAACTGACTAAAGGGAGGGGGCAGCAATGTTGAAGACAAAGAACCTTGAGAAGCGATTTGGGGAGGAGGAGGTGGTGGAGGTTGTGACGATGGTGGTGCAGAAGTAGACCCCCAGGAGAGACCGGGAGGTGATGCCTCCAGGGTTATATGAGTATCAAAGTTCCCTTTTGATTCTGGCGCCTCCACTGTGAAGATCTCTTCCACGTCATAAAATTCTTCAGGTGAAGCACTTTCTAAATCATTCAGATCGTCACCAGTCAAAACTGTTGTGACAGATGGGAAAACAGTGTCTGCATCTGCAAAATGTACCTGATACAAATAAAAGTTTGTAATCAAACTCCCATAGCCACTAAAAATACACGACTCAGAGAAAGATAGCAGTAACATACCTCTGCTTTGAAGTCCCGTGAAAATTGATCCTTGGCATCCCACAAAATATCAATGCCATCACGGTTCAAGATCCAAATATTTGCTCGCACAAATGCTGTGTGGAACATCAGTCTGAAGATCATCTGCTCGTGCACGAGGTCTTCCTCCAAGTGGATACACTCAACAACAACATCACCTTGTACACGGCATCTAAGATCTATTTTCACAAGCATACTGTCTTCCTGCCGTTGAAATTCATTATATAATCAACTCTTTGACGTTTACATATTCATCTTTCAAAATTTAATTTGATGACAGGGCATAATACCTGTGCATAGTGGCGTATGTGTATTTTCGTCTTCGAAGTTGAATACAAAAGCTTAGACGTTCTATTGGCTGGTTTTGAAGGATCCTGGCCATAAACACGCACAACCGGCCTGCAACCTTTTCCTCCTTCAAAGAGTGGAAGGGTTCTAAGCATCAAACAGTCGAGAATTAAGGGTGTGTCAGAAGGAGGCCAATCAATCCCAAAATTCCTTCTAGAAATATACTGAAGATATCTGAGCTGGGAAGGGTATGGATTTAAAGCAGATAAAACATGTAGAAGTTCCTTAGGAGCTTGCTTGTAGACTGCTTCAAGAGTCTTGTGCTCCCCACTATACTGGCCCCGATATAGCAAAAGACCGGCAAGCATGAAAGCAAGCACAGGCCATCCTCCTCTTTCGCAATGCATTAACAAAACATTTTGTTGCCCCTCCAATGACAACCAGCTTTCACAAGATCGAAGGAAATGATGAACCATCTCCAGAGGCAACAATGGACACCCTTCATATTGACGAGGGTAATCCATAACTGTCATGTCATACTGTGTTAAGATGTCTGAAAGTTGGCTCCGTCTATCTCCCTCTCGAAAATTAAACACCATAAAGGAAGCATCGGGAAAGTTTTCCTGCAGCTTTGCTACAATCCCACCTAAGTAGAGCTTGTACTCATCCTCTTCCATGACATTGGTGGAGAAGCAACAGTCGAAAACTACCAAAAGGGAGGAAATGGGGGGAGAGAAGGAATAAAGGCTGGGAATTAAAGAAAGCTCTCATAAATAAGTCAACCAATCTAATAATAGCAGGACATTGAATATCCGGCAGCATTCAAATGCCAATTCTCGCTTAATTCTACAACCCACAAATTAAGAAAGTAGACTCAGTTCTGTTCTTCATCGAGTTATAATAAGGCTCGTGTATGGATCTCAGAACCCTGAAGATACTGAATTCCCCAACTTTACCCCATTGGGTGCTATAAGGATAAGAAGAGAGGCAAGAAGATGGTTCGAAATTCAGATCACATTGTCTCAGCACATGAAACGGAACTTCAAATTTGAGCTACAGAATTCCACGAACCCTAATCATAAAACCTATCAAGCAGAAAACCCTTTTCCAATCAACGGAAAAATAAAGGGAAGAATAATTTGCAGGAACAAAGGATCAGCAAAATCAACGACAACAATCAATCAAATTCCAGGGTGCAAACAAAGAGAATGCTGTAATACGAAGGAAGACGAGTTCTGGCGGGTTTGGTTGGGAGCAAAAGGAAAAGCAGGGGAAGGAGGTACCGTAAACCCTGTCGGAGATCTCCAGAAGCCGATCCGGTGGCTTCCGGTAGGAGAAGCGTCTGAACAGCGCCATTAGATGTCGCTGTTTCTACCGTGGCTGGATCCTTACCGGTCGATTTCTAGAATCACCCCGTCTTTCTTTTCCGGCGACAAAATTATAACCCCAAAAGAGGGATGAACGCAGATCCCCTCAAGTTTCCTCGTTGAGCTAAAATCGAAAAAAGGCTTGCAAAAATTCAGGCCGCCGCAGGCAAACGGCACTGGCGAATGCCGTCGGTAGGCAATTGGGAGCAACGGTGAAGGAATTGAATCGGGAAAGAATCTGTTGAAGTGAAAGTGACGGAGAAGAGAAGTAGGAGGAGGGGAAATTTTTCTCTTTCTTTATTTTTTCATTATCGGACAGACGAAGGCCAGACGGAGGAGGAGGAGAGAGCGAGAGAGAAAGGAGGAGGGGAAATTTTTTCTCTCTGTTTTTTCATGTCAACATTTCAAACCGTCGTCATTACTAACCTTTATCGGCCGTTGATTGGCGCTAAAAAAGTGATCTGTCGTGGACGGTCAAGATTAAATTATAACTAAACGAGATCATTCCTACCTCCAACTTACTTCTTACTTCTTAGCAACAAGGAGGATAGAGACAAACCGAGAGCTTTGATCAGATAGGAAGAACGAATTAGAAGAATCGAGCGCTAGAGTGACAACAAACTGTAGTGCCTGTTTGACAGTTCGTCTCTGGTGTATCCGAGGAAAATTAGGGTTTCGGCTTCAAGTTCTCTTTCGATTCAATTTGCGCCAGAGAGGGTGCAGCAACGACCGCCCCCGAAAAAGGATGTGGCACGAGGCGAGGAGATCGGAGCGGAAGGTCCACGACATGATGGACGCCGCTCGGAAGCGAGCGCAGCGGCGGGCGGTGTATTTGGCGAAGAGGAGAGGCGATCCTCAGCAATCGATTCAGGTCCTGGGCAATCGCTGCCGCATGTACCGCGATGATGGCCTCTACCAAGCCGCTGAGGATCAGCAGGGATTGTAAGTTTTTCCCTTCCACAATTTCCAAACTTCCCGTTCGTTTATTTTTCGCTTGATTGATGGAAAAATTTGTGCCTCATGATCTCAGGATACCTTGGAACGGGAAGGACGATGTACTGATTGACAGATTCGACGGCCGGGCGCTTCTCGATTTTATTCGGGAGGCTGGCTCTCGGAATTTCCGGCAGCCTGAGAAATCGGAAGAAGAGGAAGAACTCGAAGAGTTTGTTAGTTTTGAGCGTTATCGGGATTTAATTAAGCTTCGGCGCAGAGGATGTCGGTACTTTTTTACTATTGTTCTGAAACATTCGTGATTTTCTTTATTGCTTCTCGCACCCAATTCCAAGCCATGGTGCTTTTGATCGTTTCCCGCACCAGCTGCTATCTACCTCTCGTGAAACTGCTTGGGGCTAGGTTTTACAAGCTTGGGTTTCTGTGTTGTAACAGTAACTGATGAGGAAGGTGTACGCCATGTGATGCAAGAGATGGAAGCCAAAGCGATTGCTCCATTTGTTTCCAACAGGTTACTCAAAACTTCGTTTTTGCTCTAGTAAAGGTCTATGCCGACTTGGGTTGTTGCATGCTCTGTCCAGCGTCTTGTTGTAGATGCTTAGTAAATGATATACTTACTAATTGGATGAATCATGCATTTCCCTTTTTGGTTGGATTGTCATTTGTGCATCAATGAAATGGTAAAACCTCCTTGTCCCCTCCCCCCTTGCTTTGTATATGTATCTGCATGTTACACCCTGGCTTGTAGCACAATGAATGGAAATGACCTTCCTATCTAAATAGCTCACATATGCTTCCCGGAAAGGATGAGTTTGAAGAAAATAAGTCGTAGCGTGTCAGAACGACGTTGTCTGGTGAAATGATATTAGAGTGTCACTTTCAAAGATGACACTGTGCTCAGCTTCACTCTCTTGCACTGTACTTTGCCTGAATTGAGCTTCATTTACCATGTAGCATCTTGGATTTTCTCTGTGTTTTGAGCAGTAGTAATTGTGAAATTTGTTGCGATCTGAAATTGATGGGTTCTCTCTGCTTTTTCTTCAATTCTTCTTGGCTTATTATCTGACTCAGTTGTCTTCTCTTCTGTTTCATTCCACAAATTCAGCAAATCTCAACAGGCACAGCCTCCTGCCAACAAGGGTACATATTCACAAGTGGGTTTCTCTTACGACGGAAACAGAAAAGAGGATGAGAAGCTATCAGATGGCGACGATGACGAAGACGATGATGAAGATGACGAGGATGAAGAAGATGACTTTAACAGTGACGACAGCGGTGATGAAGGAATTGATGTTATTGCAAAAGAATTTGGAGTTAAGAGGTTTGGTTGGCTTGTGTATATGGATAAAAAGGCAAAAGAAGAGGAGAAAAGGCAGAAGGAAGTTGTTAAAGGCGATCCTGCAATTGTAAGTTTTAGTAGTGTCTAGTCATCCTTACTTCATTTACCTCAGACCTAATGCCAATGGTCGGAACTTGTGTGATTCCAGAGGAAGTTGAGTCGTAAGGAAAGAAGGAAAGCTTCTCAAGTAGAGAGGGAAAAAGAGAAGGAAGCTGCTAGAATCACTGGGACCAGATTGCTGCGTCATGATCCCTACCGGTAAGCTTTAATTCTTAATTATTTTTTAGCTTGGTTAATTTCACGTTTTGTGATTTAGAGGTACACTTTGTTGTATACTCGTATTTGTAGTGATGGTTCTTTTTTGGCTGTGTAGAGAATCTAGACGGAGTCCAACTTATGAAGCTTATTCTCGTTCTAGAAGGTATTCCTGTTCTTTCTAAGTGATTTGTGATCCTTTTTCCACTGAAAAGAATTCCAGTCACATTCTGATCCCTAACTGGCTGTTCTGTTCTATATTTGCAGATCAAGGTCGAGATCATACTCTCCATCACACTCTAGACGTCACAGTCGCGCTGGTCACTATGACGACGTTCGTCGCAGCAAAGCTAAGAGTCCTAAGATAGAGTATATCACTGAATTTGGGAGCTCTACCACTGTGGAAGAGTCAAAGTTTGAAGGATATTCTCCACCACCATCTCCATCCCGGACTGATTTGGTGAACCGGTCGGAGCACTTCGACCTTTTCAATTCTTGCAAAAAGATAGATTCGACAGTCTTTTCTGCTGCAGCTTTACCCCCTTTTGTACCCAGGGGAAACTTTGTTTGTTCAAAATAGATCAGGGCTAGGAGTTATCTACGTACCTGCCTGGATGGAGCGAAAAGAAGCTTCCTTTTCTGAAGCTCATCATTGTTCCGATTTACTTCTGCCTGATATGATCAACCACCGAGTTACATGGGAGCTGTGAACTAGGTTTATCTAAAGCTTCTGCTTTCCTGCAGGCCATCATCTCGTCATATACTTGAGGCACTTCATGTTGACCCAGCATCTGGTGTATCTCTTGACAAGGATAAAACTGCAAAAGAGTTGAAACCTTCTGCAAGGTATGTGTACATCTAGATAGATAAATATTTTCTGAGCTTTTCAATCTGCTGTTGAGATCATAATTTTGCTGGTGTTTTGATGCACTTGGTTTAAAATATGTTTTTTTTTTGTCTTAGTTTTCACTGAATCGCCTAATTGTCTGCAATATAGCAGCAGCAGCTCCTCAGGGTTATCAAAAAAAAGCTCCTCAGGGTTATCAAAGCTAAGCAAGGCAAGTGTTCCTGGGGGAGTTGTAAAGCAGCAGCCAGGGGAGAAAAAGGAAACTCCCCAGGAGAGGCTTAAAAGGATTATGAACACGCAGCTAAATAAACAAAGTATGTACTGAAATGCCCTTGTCCATGATCTTCTAGTTCCGTAATTCCTTACATGCATTAGGCCTCCGACCAGATAAGATGCAATTTAGTTGATTAAACTGCCTTTATACTCTGCATTTCCCCCCTTGATTTCACTATATTCCTATTTTCCCCCGTGTAAAGTGGCTTGTTTTTTTTTAATTTATTTGACATAACATTTTATGTCATGTTTCTCCAGTTAAGAAGGACACTGTTGCTGAAATGACTAAAAAGAAAGAACAAGAGCGTCAGAGAATGGAGAAACTAGCAGAAACAAGTCGGATTAGTCGTTATAGACGACGTAGCCGCAGCAGGAGTCACAGCCGTTCTCCGCCAAGGTAAACATCCTTTTTTCCATTTAGCTGGTCCTTCGGCTAATGGAATTTTAGAATTGATCGATTTTCAGGAGTGAATGGGTTACTGAAATAATATATTCTGAAGTAAAGTTCATCGTTTTGTATGTGGATTGTGTGCGGGTCCGGTGTTAAATGGCAAGTATCAAACTATGACTGCATTTTGATGTTTTTCCTTCTGTTATCGAGGGTAATATAGTTTTTTTTATGAAGGTGACTGAGTATCGAGGGTAATATATTAAAGTGAACTAATTTATATGAGCAAACAATAGATTGGAAACAATCCATCGACACATAGCCTGTCCAACACTCCACCAAAGAATTTCCTTTTACAATTGCCTACGGTGCTAGGTTTTTTTTTACTGCAACAAGTTCTTTTTCCAATGTGTTGTTCTTGTCAGCCGAAGGAACCGACACAGCAGAAGTCGAAGCAGGAGCAGGAGTTCACGGAGGCACCATTCGAGATCCCGCTCACGTTCGCACTCCCGGTCTCGTTCTCCGTCCAGGTCACGGTCTTACTCTCGCTCTCCTAGGTGAAGATGCTGCCTTTTGTCTTGCGCAAAATCTATTGTATTTTATTCAGTTCATTTGATAGATTGCAATCCTTTCTGACATTTGTAGGTGAAGGAGCAGATCAAGATACTAGTGGCTGGTAACCGGATGCTTATGCTTGCTGGGGGAGATGGGTCAACAGTTGCAGCATCTCTGCTATCATGCTGCCGTTGTCTAATATTATTATTATTGTGTATTTGTGTTTTAACTTGAGAAGAAGGTGCACGTCATGTTCTGCATGAATGAGAAAGTATGAGCGTGTGTCATACTTTGACTTCTGATACAAGGCAATGCGATTTTGTTAGCAATGTGACAGCATGTTATTTACCCGGCTCCTGGTTCACCTTTTTATATATTTTAGTGGGCATGTGATGATTATGGTTCCTCGTAATATACCTCCATTTGTTTCTCTCATTGCTTGCTGATTCTTTGAGGAAGCAGCAGCAGTTTCTAGCTTATTACTGCTGCTTGTTTAGTAAAATACCGTACGGGTAATGTTTCGAGTAGAATTTCGGCTTTTTATTTCTTCTTCTGGACGATACTATTTGTTGTTAATTTACCATTATTGGCCATATCCTCATCTCTAACGTACTTTTGGGATGAAGATACCGTTTTTTGTCCTAATTTGTAATAACCAGTTTCAATTGGTCCGCATGCCACAGGTAAGGATGACAACGGGTCGGATTTTGCCAAATTCAAACTCAAATTCATAGGTTTATCTTTAAAAAAAATCCGAAGTAAAACCCAATGAGTTTGGAA